GGATGTGTAACTATGCACAGGATCAAAAAGCATACTGCATCCCTAAAACTTAAGGGTTTATTTGTTCTGCTAACAGTCATTTTAAAACATTTTAGTGTGTATTTTTCATCTTTGTGACAAAGGTGGAGCATTTTGTTCTTCTAAAATGGTAGGAATATGGAAAAATGGTTGCGAAAACATAATTCGGTCTAGATTCAAAATTGGAAAAGATGGCATAGGAAGAAGTGGGCTAGTTGCCAAAACTGAAGATTCACCAAATATATATTTCAGACGTAAAATCCAAATAATTTCATAAGCATATTTAAACATATGAAAGTTATTGTAATTTGCAGATTCTGAGTACGTCTGATACAACACGTAATATTATTTAAGGAGAAATTCTGTAAATTCATCACGCCTGTTTTGTAAACGTATGGAAGGTAAAGGGAAACCAGAAGAAAATAATTTGCTTTTTGTCTGAAAAAGGAATATGGTCAGTTGCACTGTACAGAGGCTGTTCGCACATTTTTTAGACGATTTTGGTAAGCGGTAATAAAAATTCGTTTGCTGCAAAAGAAGTAATTGCAATTGTACTATGTTTTAAAGTCAAAATTATCGTCTGGGCTTGAAAGTTTTTTTTTATTCAAATGGCGAATTTAACAAAGCAGTGGTTCGAAGGTACATTTCACTCTTTCCGAAGAGAATATGCATACTCCGTATCCAAAATATGTGAGAATCATGGTTTTGTTATCTAAAGCGTCGATAGGTAATATCATCAACAAGAAAAGGAAAAAAAACGGAAATTGGACTATAGCAAAGGTACGTTGTTCCAAAAAAGAAAATCCCCTAGTCAACGACGTGCAAAATCATTAAAAGCTCGATGTCAATGTAAACAAAATGATAAACGTTGATTTAAACCTTAAGAAAGCGAAAAAATGCAGTGTGCATCGTCTTCTTCCAAAGCATATCGCTCAACGCAGGACACGCGCGCAGAATTCTATATGAGAGAAACACTTATCCAAAGAAAAATGGAAAACAATTGTCACAATAGATGAAGCATGGGTGTATTTAAATGATTGTAACAAAAAAAGAGCCATTTATTATCACAAAAGGGAGAAAAAAATTTAAGTACATGGTTCAGAGAATCGAAAGAAAGTTTTTCTAAGGGATTCATGATTGTTGTTGGTTTTTCTTATAATAGCAAGTTAAAAATAAGGAGAGTGCAAAACAATGTCAAGATTAACTCCAAATAATATCAGGAACATATTTTATCGCCAATTGTCCTGAATGAAATACCATCCCTTTACCCATAGTGCCATCAATCTGTGAGACTCCATCAGGACAAAGCTACCAGTCACACATCAAAATCCACTGTAAATTTCCTAAAGGAAATGGAAAAAAAAAACTGGTATCAAGGCCATACCCTTCACTGATATCCCTACTAAATCTCCCGATGTGTTACCTATGGAGTTTTGTGCTTTCGGACTTTTAAAAACTGCATTATCCAAACGTTGTCCCAAAACCCTAAAAGGACTCTGGAAAGCTGTTCGGGAGGAATGGGATAGAATATCTCTTCTGCCACTTCAAAAGGCATCATTATCGTGAAAATTGCTGTGTCGAAAGATAGTTCAGAATAAGGGATGTCAAAAAGAACATTTAAAACACAAGAATTTTATATAATTTAGTTTTGTGAATACAATATACATCGTCTAAGAAATGTGTGAACAGCCTCTGTACAATAGTTTAAAATCTGTATGTCGTAGAAACTAATTTTCCTCGATATACAGCAGGAGAAATAAACGTTCGTATTTACATTAATATGGAAGTACATTTATTTTACAGCAAATACGAAATTCTCATTAATTTAGTTCAAATATTTCTTTTTATGAAAATCTGTTCCATCAGTTTTAAAATAAATGAATAAAAAATTCTGATACTTAGAAAATGTAGTTGCGACTCTTGTCATAACTTGAATACTAACATGCGACTTCTACTACTCCGAAATCTGCCACTCCTGTTATAAAGTCGAATACTGCTGTAATGCACTTCAAGGGATCGGAAGTTTGATTCGCTATTATCAGATTAGATCTCAAGACGAAAAAAAAAAAACTTGAATGTTAAACAAAACAAAAAAGGCTGATTAATACTTTGACATGTACCACAAAAATGTACAGTGAATCTAATTTTTAAAAAATCCTATTAAACTTCAGTTGCAATTCTTTCTACGCAGATTTCTTAAATTTACTGCCCAATATTTCCCAAGCTTTTGCAAATGCTCTGGAAAATTCACTGTTTTTTGCCTGAAGCATTTTGAACGGCGAGTCATTTCAGCAATGCCTCTTCGATATCCCCGTGCTTTTTAGCTTTTGTTCGTATCCAAAATTTTTTCCATGAGCAATTATAGTCCCTATTTTTTGCAGTTTTGGATAAACTGTATTTATATCAAGTATTAGTTTCCCTGCATCCATTTTGTATTTTTCTACAAATGTTCATCTTATCTTCTGTATAGAAGATTTACTTTGCAGCTAACCATGTAGACGAACTTTTGACCCAGAAAGTGTGTACAAAATATTTGATGGAGGAATATGCGACCGTTTAGCTCTTCCGGAAGTGATGAAAACGAAAGATATATTCGTCATCTAAGTATCTTAGCCAATGTCTAGTGAGAAGACATTCATTTTCCTAAGCTGCATATAACTCATCAAAGACTCAACAGCTTTTATGAAGAATATCTTATATTTTGCAACAGACCTAAATAGAGCAAAATCCCTATTCAATTTGGTTTGGTTTGGTTTGGTTTATTTAATTATGATAAAGGACACTAGGGCTATCTGCATATAGAGAGGTACGCCTTCGCAGAGGACATTCTAAGGGAAACTGGCTCGTATACACGTTACACGTGGGGGAAACCACGAAAACGCCCATGCAGCCAGCCCGTTTGCGGGATTCGAACCTCGGACCGAACTACCAGTGTTAAACGAAATTAACGCTCGGCCGTTGGTAGGCAAATCCCTGTTCGAGTGATAGAACTTGCAGAACGTTTACATTAAAAAAAAGAGAAGAATCAAAATTTCCATTCCTAAAAAAAAAATTAAATGTAAAGCCGCAACTGATAAGATTCAATATTTTCTCTTCCCTGAATAACAATCGCTGTATCAACCTTCAATACAGTTCTGTCTGGCAGCTTAGTCAAAATATTTTAATTAAATCAAAGAAGCCATTCACAATCTTTGGTTTAACAGTCACGTACGCAGCATGATGTATTAAGATATGTTTATTGTATTCTTATTCCCCTAGAGTTTTGTGTCACACTTGTCTCCTAGTGCTTTTGTTCAGAGCATATCAAAATGTAGGGAAAGGGAAAATAAAAAATGACAAATGTGTTTTCCTGTAAGAATGGAATGCTTATCATAATATCCTAAACATGAAGGATTTTAACGGTTCGTAATTTTTACGTTAAAACTTGCAGAAGTTTTCAATCGAGATATAAAATACAGTTCGTTATTTCCAATTTTCATTTTCTTCGAGGTTCGCTTTAATATTATAAAATAACATTATGCGCATAAAAAACCCAATGAAACCAAAACTGTTCCGCAGGTTCGTGTAAGCCGGGTTCATTACAGTGAGCTTCGACTGTAGTCCATGACGTAAAAAAGGACACGTAAGGGCTCGGAGAGATTTGGTAAAAGTCAACACTAAAATGCAAAATATTTGACTAAATATTTGACTATATAAAAAAATTGACTGGTTGCTGTTTCGCTGTAAATCGTCAAATTTTAATTGTAATTTAATTTAATTATAATTATAATTGTAATTTAATTTAATTATAATTTTATTTGTTCTTGCTATGGATAATGCAGGTGGAGTTTATGATACCTCAGAAATTATGGGGCTTGTTAGAAAGAAGAAAAATAAGGTTCATTATATTCTTCGACAGCAATGGAGCAGAAAGAAGCTAAGGTGCTAACGTGGTCTCAGTGCGTGACAATTTTGCAAATTTCTAAAAATTCAAGTTGACGGAAGAATTTAGTGCGAGCTTTTTCGGCAACAGGTCTTCATTTTTCTCGATTCACTGTTTTCTAAACCTCATCCATAGTCTGTAAATGACACTTTGAGAAAACTCCTCCGCTTAACGAATTGAGTTAGACCGCCTCTAAACGACCGGTGTTCGTCTAGGCTACTATCAGCTAAGTTATCTTGCGATGAATCCATTCTGCTGTTAAAAAACATTCAACGCATTTCAGTTGTTTTAATCTCTCTACAGAAACGAAGCTACTGGTCGATTTTCACTCTTTCTCTCTATCTTATTTTTATTTGTTTTATTACAAAGACGTACTAAAAGATTTATTGTTATAAACAATAAATACTAACTAAATGATGATTTTATATATATATTATATTATTTCTAATAGGTCAGTTACCTTATACAAGGACGGGTATATTGGGTCCAGTTGTAGTTAAACATCCCTCAGCCATGAGCAAATAGTTACGCTGATTCGCTTTGTGAGTACCTGCCCATTTTAATCAAAGTTTATTATTGTACTGAAATTTTTCATTTGGGTCGAGACTTAATTATTACTCTAATCTGCAATAAGAAAATTTATTTTTGATATAATATACCTAAGTATTAATTTTAGTAGAACTTTTTAACTATGTATCAGAAAAAATTTTATATTCATAACAACACATACTTTTTATGGGAGATTTATGTAAATAGCTCCTATAAATTATGCTATTGCATTAATAAATTAACTTTTAGAAGTCAAATTAAGATGAGAAGCTCGAAGATTGTGTTTCCAAGCTCCTTCATAAGTACTAACAATTTTTAGTTAAATGTGAGTTTCACTGGTATCAGCGTCCTCTGGCGTGTCTAAAAAAAATCTTATTGCAATATTAATCAGCAGCTCTGAACTGACAAAACTTTTATATATATAAAGCTATTCATAGTAAATAATTATGCACAGAAGTGATATAAAACGTAATAAAGTAAAAAAATAATATTTAGTGACTATCTCCAAACATATTTTAGATAAATTTACAAATTTTATTATGATATTTTAGATACACTCAGATAACGGGAAAATGTTTTAAAACTTTGGTGAGCATGACATTTGAAAACAATTCAAACGTTTCCATCATTTCTTTTCTGTTTATAAGATTTTTTGCATATATAGGAGAACATATTCGGATATCATTCCATTTTTCAGAGCCTGAAAGTAAAAAAAAAAATATGTCTATATAAATAATGCTTAAAACGTAAAAATTTCAAAATGCAAGATTAGTAGCTTTTACCTATTAATTTATATGCATTCACATTGTGACAGTTAAATACAAAAACAGAAGAAAAATACGAGTACTAGCTTGTACTTGTAAGTAAAATACAAGCTTAATGCAACATGTATTAAGCTTGTTTATATACATATATTAAGATTGTTTTTAAAAATATTTAGCAAAAGCAGCTATTATCACATTAGCCTTTAAAAGTTTTAGTAACCTTAATAAAGATTATAAAAAAATAACACGTCGAAGAACAAATGTCAAAGGTATTACAGCAGCAAGAATCAGTTAATTTATGCAAATTTATGCATTGTTTCAAAATTTAAATAGAATCTTCTTTAGCTGCAAGCGTGAACATAGCTTGAGTAAGCTCCCTGTTCCTATTCAGGATACATCATGTTTCCTAAGCAAATAAAAAGACATACAAGTCCTGACATGTTTAATGAAAGTATGCTAATATTTAAGTTGAATAGGACTTAACTTTAAGAAATTTTTAACTTAAAGATCTATTAGAAATTTTATGTTATTGTATAAAATGTGTACTTTAAATTTTGTGAAAGAATGTTATTGAATTTAACATTTTGAGTGTTCTTAAGATATCGAAATAAATTTCTTATTGCTTAGTTTTCAGTTATAGTTAGTCATAGTGTATTAAAACTGCGTGACTATAAAACATGGATAAATTTTTTAAAAAAAGTCCTCCTTTACGTGCATTGTTTACAAAAACATGTAATATTCTGAAATGGAAACTAGAAAAGCATTCTTCCGATAAAGGTGAAATTTCTGCTTTGTATGCTAAAATTGAAATCGTCATGAGTGGATTAAAGTTTTAAATAAGAGTATAATATACTTGTTACTTGATAAATGTGATGTGTCCTTCATTGCGAAAGTGACGGATTAAAATGAGAAATATTCTGATGAATTTGTGTTAGTCTTATGTTCGATTGCGTGCTCCGACAGTTGGCGCCATGTTGTTTTTGTAATAACTGACAGCGCATCCTGCCCTTAGCTAGAGTGTAAGGATGTTCGAATATTTGTGTACAAGTTTTCTGTTTTAATGAATAGTTGCGTTAATGTATAGTTGGGTTAATGAATTGGTGTGTTAATAAAGTTGTGCTTTAGCAATAGGGAGTCATGTCTTCTAAGAACATTTACCAATCCCTAACCCACTCACCATAAATTCGCGACCGGTCTACACGCATAAAGCTTCAGGCGCTTCGTTCCAAGACTTCCGTGTTCTTACCTACAGCCACTTCTATGGAGGAAACAGTAACCGTGAAGATACCAATTTACAATCCTATCGAGCCGGGATTACATAAAATCACATAGAAAGTTGAACATTTGATTTAATAAATGTTCAACATTTTATGTAAATATTAGGGAAGAGATATCTGTATTTATGTGATCAGCTGTATGTTTGAATTTCTCCCTAGTGATCAGCATTAAGTGCTTAATTATGTTTTTTATTAAATTATGTGCATGCTCTAAGGTGATAAAAGTAACTATGGAATTACTTTAGGTAAGGTATTCTTTGTATCAGCACTATGTATTCAAGTGTTTGGTATCAGATATCAATTTTACTGACTGCCTGTTCACTTTAACGTACTCAAGTCTGTATTTATTACTTCTGTGTATGTACTATGAAGGTTAATTCGTACTTGGCTAGGATTTAGACTACATAGCAGTACTTAATGATCATTATGTTCATAAGTTTTAGCTTTCATGTATTACGTATGCATTTTAAGTGTTATGTATGCAGGTATTAGGGATCAGCTTTCTGTATTTCTGTACTCAGTATCATGTTAGTTTTTCACTTTAATATTCAGTTTTGTACTTATGGATGTATCATTCTGTCTGCAAGTACTACGAAAGAAAATGTAGATGCATGGTTCAATTTGTAAAACAACTCCAGTTTAAGTTTGTGCAAAGAACTAAATTATGCAGGAATTTGTTATCTTAGTGATAACACAATCTTTAAAAGTTTTTTCATAAGAGTCAAGCACATGGAAAGTAATCTGCGTTAAATTACGTTTGGGCGCTAGGATTATTTTTTTTCGGGGGGAGGGGGTAAATTTTTTTTTTTTTTTTTTTTTTTTTTTTTAGTTTACTATGTGCAAAAATTTAATAGGTTACGTCTTTCCTTCATGAAGGACCAACCACTTTACAAAAGCCAAATCAATGTATGACAATTGTGTCAGGATAAGCATCCGCATATAGGCATTTAGCAAATACAGAACATCCACGGCAGTTACGTTTTCAGGCAGAGTCCTCCTTTCTTTACTTTATCTAACACAAGTTTCTGTCTATTCTAACAGCGATTCTTAGCAGTCTTTTGATTGCTTCATTGCTTAATTTTAAGTAGTTCCTAACAGAATACTCTTTCCCCGAAAAACAATATCCAAGCTTATATGTAGACTTTATGAGGCTCTTAGCCGTCTCTTCGCCTGCGTTCCCGGAGCGGCGTGGAGCAGAGAGTAGATGGTTTCTACCAGGAAGAAAACACAGTGTGCGAGGCTAAGGCCAGGTCAGTAGTCTTCCTTGATGGCGCTCACTCACTCACTACTACGAGCGGAGGCTCTCTTTATATAGCTTGTTCTGAACGTATAAGCTCATTTTGAAGTGTCTGTGGAAATTGAACAACTTAGAAGTGTAATTTTAAAAAGAATTATGAGTTATATAAATAACAGTCGCCATTGGAAATAAGAAACTTGTCTAAATTTCGATGACAAGAATATTTAATGACAATATCGATGCAGACAAAGAATGTATGTAATAAATTATTCTAGCTAAGCAGATATTAAGAAATACATGAAGCAGATATTAGAAAAGAAATACTTCCTTGTTCTCTTCCCTTTTTACTTAAATTATAAGAACGATTTTTTAATTCAGCTTTTTCGCAACAGTATATGCTCTTTTTCGCTTACCTTTAATTGATTGAAGAATAAAGATTTTTATTCTAAGTATAATTTAAGACGTGCATATCTGTTACAGAAATTTGTTTCACGTTATTTTAGACGAATTCAAAAAAATTGCCTAAAATTTATTTCTTCTGAAACGTTTCTGAGAAATGTACTAAATATTTTCAGAAAACATTATTTCATATTTAAGGTGAGCATGAATCAGAAATCAAAAATCCCATGCAACAAGCTAATCTAAGTAATTTGGACCGATTTAAGGCGTAACAGCTAGTGTTATTTGGCTTCAGCTAGTATCACACTTATGGTGAATGATTGCAATTTTTGGATAATCGCAAAGCACGCGAGGGCTATAAAGCCTAAAAAAGGAGTACTTCTTGAAGGACTATGTGAAAGACATATATATTATACATGAAACAACCCATACCAAACTCTCATTCAGCCGGCTGTTCACCGAGTTCGAAAACCGGGCTGAAAGACCAGTTATTTTTATTTGGCCGCCGCCCCTCTAATAGGCTTTACTCGCAAAGGTGTATGAAAAGTAACATATCAAAAGAAGAAAATTTTGAAATATTTATAAATAAAATATAAAATTAATAAAATATATTATGTACAGTTAATTAAGTTATTACTCTTCGCTTCAATATTCAAAAACTGAAAACCGCTAATAAACTAAATTCTAATCTTAATTCATTAAAACTCTCCATCTAAAATATTGCTGTTACAGCTCGTCTGACAATGTAGGAAAATGTAGCAGCAAAACTGTGCAAAATATTTAAGTCTTCTCATTCACTGACTTCTATTAAGCAATCTCATTCACTGACAAACAACGTAAGAAACACTAGAGATAATATTCCGCGAGAAAAATCTTACTAAATCACATAAATTTCTATTTCATTGGCTCTGTTTAATCCTCTTCTTTAAGCAGTGCTCGTTGATACAAAAATAAGAAAATCAAGTACAAAGCAGATGGAATAAAAAAATGGATCCTTAAAATGTAGACAATTAATAACTCTAGACTTTTTCCGCTACATATATTAATAGCGTTAAATATTTTTTTCTAAATACATAAAATAAACTTCGAAACAAAACATTTCAAAGAATGTAAATTATTGGACCAAAAACAACTACCATACATATAAAACTCAATAAAATTAAGAAAGATATTTTGTCAAATGCCGCTTTAATGCTCAAGGTTCCTCTGTTTTTCTTCGAATGAAATATGGAAGCTATTCACCTGTTTAATATTTCTTATGGTTTTATCGAATTAATTTCAGAGCACAATTATTGCAGCTGTATTTGTGAACAGCTCCTGTAAGTTTTAAAAGGTTTCAATTATTTTTAAAAGTCCCGCTCAAATCTCTGTTTTACGCTTTGCTTTTTATCAAATAACGCATGGCAGCTTATAATGTTTAATAAATAAGAATACCTAAAGGTTCATATAAGATTTTCATATTTACCTAAGACTTACCAGAATTAATTTTCATCGTTCTTCTTTTATCACTTACGACCAGCTATGCAAGGTTCAGGAGCAGCCTGAATGATACTTAAAGTAGCCATCGCTAGTACTGCGATGAACTAGACTGCGTCTCAAGAATTCCATTTCTTAAATGTCCGAACTTAATCGGTATGAATGTCTGCCTTCAAACCTTCCTTTTATAAGAGAATATAGCCTAGAAAATATGCAGCATCATGAACTATAATTAGGAAATTGAAATGAGGTGCAGTGGATTAAAAAAAATTTCAAAATGTAATGCTGTCTTCAAAACGTTATTTTAATTCATGTGGCAATTAAAATCACGTTTTGAACGCATATAAAAATATGCAATGAAATGCATATTTTTATATGCATTTCATTGCGTAAACACACTTAGAATTCATATCAGAATGAAACATATTTTTTCGACTGCAGTATAATTTTGAGTAAAGCGAAACCTCTCTAAAACGGCCTTTCATGGTTTCAGAGTACAGTAAGACCCCGCTTAACGCGGGGGATACGTTCCATCAAAGTAGAGCGTAATGCGAAACAGCGCTAAACGAGGCTATCTTTACATGTAAATATTGGGGTTAGGGGAAGATGGCTAGGAAATGGTTAAGTATTAAATTTAAAAACTATGTTTTTTAATAAAAATAAAACCAAACATTTATTTCTTAAAGCCCAAATTAATACCACATTATTATTTCTTGCAAAAATAAAAACAAAATATAAATAACAGAACGAATATTCTTAAAAAAAAAAACAAATAAAATTCTCAGTCAGTCATATTTAGTTAGCCTTCCGCGTTTTCAGTGTTCTGCCTTTTTGTGACAAAAGCATCTAATGTTGTTTGCCTTTTTCTTTTGCGTTGTTCTCTTAAAAGTTCTTCACAAACGGATAGAGCATCTCTAACACCACGCCTTACTTTTGAGCTCCTGTCAAAATTCGGATCATTTTCAATGAATTGATCCATTATTTCAGTTATGTAGACAAACTCCTTTTTACAAACGCCATCGAAAGTTCTTTTTGCTCTTCTTCTGAATCACTGCTGTCAACATTTTTGTTTTCTTCTTGTTCAGTTAATTCCTTGAGCTCATCATTAGAAAGACTAGCCGCTGCTTCTTGAATTATTTCTTCGACATCTTCCAGATTTACCCCTTCAAAAATATGTCTGTACAATACCGCACCAAACAAGAAATACAAGTACACTCTTTCGGATATGTATTTGAAACCTATTGCTGCATAATATTTCGGGGAATCCCCGTATGCTGCGAGCGATTTCGTGGAATCCCCGGGTTGAAATAAAAGAGCGCTAAACCGAACCAGCGCTAAACGAAACAGCGTTAAGCGGGGTCTTACTGTACTTTGTTGTTGTGTGGAGGGGATCAGTTTAGTGAAGTGACTAATAGAAATGGTAATATTTTATGAAATGCTTGTTACTTTCAGATGTGGTCGAATATGAAAAACGATCACTATGAGAGAGTTCACTGCATTTTACTTGAATGTGTAAAATACAATTAGTTCGCAATGAATTTCAAGTGTTTAAAGTGCAGATTGAAATTTCTCATTATTATCGTTTGAACTCAGTTTATATTTGTGTTGTACGTCGGAAGTTTTAATTTACGATTTAATATTTTTAAACGTTTCTAATAGATTTCTGCTTAATCTCAGAATAACGTATTGTTCTATTAATCATGCAAATATTATTGCTTATTTCTTATAAAAACATTTTCAACCTTTGTTATTTTAAAAATTCTTCTAAATTATGGAAGTATCTTTGACGGGTTGCCAGTAGCGAGCATGCGCAACGCGCATCGTGAAGACAAATGTTGTGTAATGATTTTGTGCTATGTGTTTTATCTGCCCCGGGATGTCTAAGTGACTGAAATATTCTTTATAGTGCCGCATTTATTTTCATCGCCAAGTAGGTGATGCTTGGAGAGAAGGAGCAGTCTGTTCATCCTGTATAAAAGAAATAGTTTTTTACTCATGAGTCATATACTGGAGTCAGATAATATAAAATTCATCATTACAGAAAGTTTGGTATCGCAGACCTGATCTCTGCGACTGGGGAAGCAGTAGCAATGAAAATTGGAAAGTGAGTGAGTAGCCGACTCACCCCACCTTACACTTATTTCCTTTACAAGTAGTAAGTAGTTGGATTGGAATTAGCTGCAGTGTGAACAATATTATTTCTGAAATTTGTTTGAATGGACAGTGTAATTTCTGTACGAAAAATGACAAAATCGAGGAAAAACATTTCATTGTGTAACGAGAAAAGCAGAAAAGAGCAATTGTTAGGCAGTTAACAGCTAAGTTAATTTCGAAGACAGAAGCGACTTCAAGCGAGTCATTTACGGATACATTTCGTAATAGAATAAACGTATAAGAATTATGTGATCTCTCTAACGAGTTAAAAGGAAAGGTGAATTCACTAAATGTTTTAGATAGCGGAATTCAGAATCATTCAGATTTAAATGAGCTACAACAGAATGTTATTTAGAGCCAAAATTATCAAAAGAAGTCACCAAACGGCTAGGCAGAGTAGAAGGTTTGGTTTGGTTTACTAGATTACGGCAAAGCACTCGAGGGCTATCTGCCTTAAGGAAGAGATGCCTTCGTGGAGGACGTTTTAAGGGAAACTTGCTCGTATACACGTTACACTTGGAGAAAACACCCATGCAGCCAGCCCGTTCGCGCGATTCAAACCTCGGACCGAACTACCAGTGTTCAGCGACTTACCGCTCGGCCGCTGGTGGGCACGCAGAGTAGAAAGAAATATAAAGTTGGTAGTCTAGTAATGACCGGAGTCTTAAGACTTCACAGAACGTAATTTCTGACAGATTTATTAGAAGTACTGTGTCACTGCCGAAGTTAGAAATATCAAAATTTTATGGGAACATATGGTACGAGACTAGACTTTTGGAGCAGCTTTGAAGTAACAGTACGTAACACCGAAACACTGGCAAAAGTTGAAAACCTCAACTACTTGAAATCTTGTTTGTCTCTTACTGCGGTTTCTCCATTTTTCTTATATAATGGGAACTATGACTGTTCCATAGTCTTGCTTAAAAAGTGGTTTGGTCGAACAGATCTTATCATAATATTATTATGTAATTCTTATATAAGCTGCTAGGCTGCTAGCTATCGAGCCAATAATGAATTCCAATAACACAAAAGGATTAAGAAAATTGCATGACGAGGATCAAATACAGTTTACAAATTTTAAAGGTTACCACAGTACTGAAATATATTATGTCTTTTAATTTTTCAAAAATTAACATTAAAAATTAGTTTGGAACAGCGATTCTCAACATTTTTACTAACGCATACCATCCAAACAAAAACTCAAAAACTTTAGTACCACCACTACATATTACAATGATTAGTTTTCTCAATAGAAATATTTTTTAAAAAATATATTTTGCCATCTCCACAACCTTATTGGCTATTTGTATTAAATATGCATACATCAAAAATATTAGATTAGAAATTGGTTACCATTTTAATTATTAAAATTTAAGTTATAATATTACTTTAATTCTAACATTTAGTCCGAAATTTGAGCCTGTATAAGAAAGATCAATTTCCTTATTCTGGCCTTATTTCACTTAGTTTTAACCTTAATTTAAGATCCACTTTTACTTTTGTTGTGTATTTACTTTTCAAATATAACATAAAAGAAAATCCTTGTTCACACAAATACATTGTGCAAAGTTGTGCAGGAAGGCAATAACAATTTAATAGCTATATTTTAAATGCCTACAATTCTTTTTTTCTTCAGCCAAAATTTAACAAGTATCTTATTTTTCGAATCTTGAGTTAGAGTTCGATTATAGAAAATTTCTATAAATTTCTCTTTTTCTTCGCGAGCTAAAATTTCAGATACATTTGAACAAAATGAATTTCTAATCCTATTTTCTTTTCATAATCCTCCGTAAAATACATGTTGAAATTATTCATCAATGAAAAACGATAATTTTTAATGTCGGATGTTAATTATTCTTTTACTTTCAAATTATTTCAGTTAGAAAACTTTCTGAAAGCGGTAAAAATCTTAAAATATTATTATCCAGTTCTTTGATTATTAGCTCGGGTTTTGTTTATCCTTGCATTTGTTTTATCTCTAATGCTAAACAAATTAACACTTTGCCCTTGTAATCCTAAATTTAATTCATTTAATTTTCCAGAAATATCCGCCGTATGAACTAAAAAGGCAAACCACAGCTCACGAAGTGAACGTTTTTAACTACAGATTTTTGAACCATTTTTTAATTCAAATTTTGAACCATAGGGGAAAATTTGAATTTCTCATCAAAACGGTGATTTAAAACTGTTGTGTTGATAATTACAATGAATCATTATGTGTTAAGAACAAAATCAAGTCAATTATATTTAAGTAATATTCGATTGTGCAAAGGCTTATTTTTTAACTATTTTGGCTACTAAGCTTCATAATGAATGCAATTTGAGTGATTTTAGTTCCCGGTCGCGTAATGGCAGACCGCACATTGAGTTGAACAGTGTTAAGCGAATTTCGCTTACTGCGCATGCTTGATGGTGTACCTTTGGCGCGGGGAGAAATATACGCGACTAAGCAACCCTACGTTAGCTTATTCGTGATTTCCATGGCTGTCGAGTGTGTTCGAGAACTGGAGTATCTCGCTTAGTTTGTTAGCGTATATTCGCGCTTTTATTTTCTCATTTCAAAGAATTTAATAACTAGCATTAAAGAATTGTAAAAGTTCTTCAGTGTTATTTGCAAGCACTTGTTATATTCCTCAGTGTTTCTTTATGTATGTACGAATGGAACGTATGGTAAATCCTGAATTGTTTTTATTGCTTAAAAGCATAATGAATAAATTTTCAACTAATATAGCCTAAATTTCAGTCTTTTTCTGAACGAAAATTTGTACAGTTCCAAAGGAATGTGCAGAATTTCATAAGTATTATATTTTACATTTTGAATGTAAACACTGCTTCACATTACTTCGCACGGCAAACACGTGGGCAGTTTTCTCGCCATTTGAAAATTGGACGCAAGTGTTGTTCCAGTTTCTCGTGACGAGCCCCAAACTCCGTAGAGAGAAACCACAAGGGAGAAGGGAAGGGAAAAAGTTCCAGTTAAGAGAGGAGACGGAAAAGAGG